AGACCTCCCCATCCTTTTCGAGAAGGCCCACACAGGCCTCACTTTTCCAGCAACTAGGTTGGTTGGTTTTTGTGCAGGGGCCATGCTAATCTTCTCTGTAGCGTTCCAATGTTAGTACCTGTGCTGCTGAAGCGAGCACTAGTTTGTTTCTTTCCAGGGCTTCCCTGCATCCTGCTCCTTCCTCTACCTGGGAGCTTCTTCCACATTCCCTTCCCTCACTTTTTTCTAACCCCTCTCACTTTTCAGTCCCTGATTCAGAATCAAAGCTCTTTGGATCCTCAAGACCCCAACTTTCTAATTTGTCATCTCAGCCCTCAGTAGTCCTCCTACCTAGCAGTTGTCATATTTGACACACGTAGCTCTAACTGAAGTGCAATTAATAGTTTTTCTCACACCTATCTTCCAGACTAGAACATAACCTGGGCAAGAACTCTGCCTGTTACTCCCATTGTTAAATAGAAACATGTATCTGGCTCATAGCAGCTGCTCAATAAATACATCTAACCAGTTTTGTGAACAGTCTGAACTTGGTTGGCTGGCAGCTAACATCAAAGAGGTCCTTCTCCCCCTTTCACATGAGGACGATGTCAGATCTGCTTCCTATCATGTGAGGATGTTCTGGGAAAATCCCTGTTTCACTTGTATCACTGCCAGTAATTTCACAGCATCATTCACTGTAAAACTCCCCTTGCTGCTCTTCCTGGCACTTCAGCTCAAGCTGGCCTAGCGATCTAAAAATCTGTCATGAGGAAGAGGGTGTGGCTTGAGCTTCCCCCTCCTACTTTACCTCATTTAATTATAGCTTCAGAAATAATATAGGACAAGGAAGTGAGGGTCGAACTATTTCTTAGTAGCCAGGTGGTGAGTGGTTGTCTCTCTGACTGATACCGCTGCCTGATGGATGTTTCCTGTGGCAGCATTTAAGTGTTGGCTTGTTTATAGAGCACAGGTCTGAGTACTTCAGGGACTTCTGTAAGAGCAGGTAGTCAGGCGGAGTGCTCTCCACTGGCCAGTGTACTCATGTGGGAACCTTCACAGGTTTGGCTTCTTCCAACCCTCCTCTCATTCAGTTCCCACTGATCATGTACCTTCTCTTGCAGCTGAGATGCGCTACCTAGAGGCCAGGGTGGCAAGGCGGCTCAAACCTGGCTGCCCTTGGCAGTGTTTACTGTGACCACTCTTCTGTCCTTGCCCCACACGCCGAATATGAAGGCTGCTTCCCATCCTGCTCCAATGTCACGCTTCCACTTTAGGAAAGATCAGCAGGTCCACTCCCCAACCAGGAAAAGTGGCATCAGTCTCCCCTTCCTTGGCATTCCTTGGCCCTCTCAAGGGGCACTCTTGATGACCCTCTTGTGTGAAGTGATGGGAGAAGTCACCGGGAAGGGAGCTGTCATGGAGCTCTCCCAGTGCCCGTGATAGATTTGATCCTGATGGTTTCCTCCTCTCCTCACTCCCTAGCCCTTGGTGTGTATAGAGCCAGGTGAAGACAGCCAGGGTGGCAGCAAGGCTTAAGCACCTGTCACTCAGCCCTAGAGGAGACCTTGTCCTCCATTAATTTGCAGCGTTCTTTAAATGTAAAGGGTTTTTTTTTGTTCTAGCTTCAAAAGAGTTATTTGGAAAATCTCAGGAATCCTATTAGGTCTGTTGAGAGCTGTCAATGTGTTTCTTGTGTTGTTTTAGGGAACCCCTGCCCAAAAGACACAAAGCTTGCCATTGAGAGGCACATGTTGAGAGAACCATATTCCGTATTTCGCTAAGAGAAGAAGGAAGCCAAGGAAAGCCTATTGGGGCAGGGCAGGTGGACCCCTATGTACAGACTATCTCAGCAGAACTGAGGCGGAGGCAATAAGCAGAAGTGGTTAAAAAAAAAAAAAAACAAATCAGTAGGATAGGGTGGATCAGAGTAATGCAAAAAAAAAAAAGATGAGATGATGACAGGAAGGGAAAATGAAAATGATAGAAACTTGAAGGAAGAAAAGATAGTAAAGAGAGAAAAAAATTGAGAGACGGAGGTCAGGGAGAAGGGTTGGGCTGTAGCTTGCCCAACTAGGGCATGGGGGATGGGCAAAGCAGCTGGCAAAAGAGAGTCCCCATTCGCCAGCCTATGGGGGTGGCTGTGGGCTAAATCCATCCCCTCCCCCATCTTGGCAATTCTGAAGTTACACCTTTGCATATTCTGAGAAGGAATGGGGGCGGGGGCAGGGGCAGCACACCCAGGTGCAGGGGATGCTACTTGAACAAATGCACTTGCACACTGCCCAAGAGAATTTGTTCCTTTTGTTCTTAAACAAGACATGAAGATCCCAGATAGAACCTTTACATGGATGCTTTGATTCCAACAGCAGTTGTGCAGAATTAATGTGACCAATGTCATTTGCAGTCCAAATCCTAAGTGAAAAATTTGGGAAATGCTTGCACTCCAATACCTGTCCTATCTTTAAAGTACACATCAGATAAAATGCTCAGAGCAGAGCAGAGCCTGGAACAGCCATGGGCTCAGTCAGTGTTAGTCCTCACTGAGCAGCTCCCAGCACAGGATCTTGGCACCTAGCACTCAGTCCGTGTGGGTGAGGAATGCATGAACGATTGCATTAAGCTGAGGGCTTTATCTAGTTCCACCACCAGGGCACAACCCATGCCATTTATGCCAAGCTAGACACGCAGCCTACATCCTTCATAGGAGTTCCTGGCCTTGCAAGCCTCTTGTGTATAACCCCGCGGTGGCTGTTGGAACAAACTGGTCCCTAGGGTATAATTTTTGCACTTGGGGAATGTGGACCTGGGAGAGACCAGTGGAAACTTTAACTTGAGAAAGAAATGAGAATGGTACCCAGGCACAGAGCAGGGCAGAAAGTAGAGGACAGAACCAAATCTTGGCAAGAGATTTAAACCATAGAGCTAGAGATCAGAAAAGCAAGGAAGCTTGGAGTCACTTTACGATGTGCTGCTCAAAAGTGGGCCACAGAGAGCAGCTGCAGCATCTGTGAGGATCTTGGTAGAAATGCAGAATTTCAGGCCCTGCCTCAGACCTACTGATCTGGAATCTGTCTGTGTTTTAACAAGGCCCCCAAGTGGTTGGCTGTTAAATTAGTTTGAGAAGAGTTTATCTAATCCAAGGGTTTAAATTTGCACACACTAGGAGAAAGGAACCAGCAGAGGCCAGGGCCACAGAGCTTGCCAGAGCCATGGAGGGGCAGTTGGAGCAGTTTGGCTGGAAACTTCCATTTGGGGGTGCTGCTCTGGATAAGAACACTGGAGCAGGGCTAGAGCATTATCCTTGCATGAAGATAGATGACTTCAGTTTGCTGAAAAGTGAAACGCTAACCCACTAACCATTTTTGTTTTTCAATGCTTATGGTAGAATCTAGGACCTCACACTTGAACTCTCTCCTAAGCCCAACCTGCTAAGTTTTTTTCTTTCTCTTGTTTTATTTATTTATATTTTTAAAGAGAATTAAAAAATAGTAAAAAAAAAAAAAAAAACAGAGAAAACTATACAGAATTTCACTAAGCAAAATGATAGGAATTCAACAATAGTTGTTATAATGCATATTGTTGTCTTCAAATTAATTGTTCAGATTGCCAGATATAAGCATGTAAAATGCTAAATAATTTTATCTTTCAGTGCAAACTTCTAAATTGAAATACATTAGGACAATGGAGCATTTTATGTAAAAAGAGCTACGTAAAAATGTGCATCCATTTCTCTTCTTCTGTCGCTCCGCTTCCTGGCCCCTTCCGTCCAGCCTCATAGCTGATGCTCAGTGTGGGAGAGTGCCCCGAGGCTCCGTGTGAGCGCAGGGCAAGCCTGTTCCAGCAGCTACTGGTTTTCATAGATTGTGAAGGAAAATGCATGTGCAGCCAGAAGGGACATAAAAGTTAAGTTAGATTTCTCAAGGTTTATACCATTTTGGTAAGAAAGAACTACAAATGCATCCATGAGCTACAAAATACAACATGAGTGATTTCAATGATTCTGTTGCAGGAAGCCAAATTAGATAGAAATATTATAGGCATTCAGACAGGGCCAGGCCCTCGAAGGAGGTAACACAGAAGACAAGATACCTTACAACTATGGAAGGGACAGATGCTCCTGCTGTTAGCCAGACCTAAAGACCAAAGATCAAACAAATGCCAACCCCCCTAAAGATTGGCATCCGAGATTGATCATCACCTAGAGAGAGCCAGAAGAATCAGTAATCTGACTACTACTGGATGGCTACCTGATAAAGTCCTGCTCTACATTCATGCCCGCTTGCTATGTGACTCACTTCTTCATTTGGTCCTGGATTTAATCCATTTTACCTGAGCAATGATTCTTGTCATGTCATTGATTTGCCATAGTTTTGTCCCACCTCATGCCCACCTACGCAAGTTCCCATGTTCTCCACCACTTTAGACCCACCTCACCACATGGTTTTACTCTATAAAAGTCCCAGGAAGAGATAGCTTCCAGACAACCTGCTCAGGCCCCCCTCATGTCCCTCTCTCAGACAGGAGCTTTCTTTCCCCCCAATAAATTTATTCTGCTCATAACCTCCATTTGTTCCAAAAATTAATTATTCAGTTTTAGAGAACATGAACTCATCCCAGGTACATTTCAGGACAGGAGATCATTTTCCCCCCATATGATTTGGAGGTTCCCTGTATCATTTGGAGGTCACCCACCTGAGATCAGTTTTTCTCCCTATATCAATTCCACATGCAACTGGAATCCTTCTGTGCTTATGTTATCAGTTAGCATCACACCATGCAGACAGTACAATTCATGAGGATAATTAAAATTTTTATTTGTTTATTTTGACTTACAATAATATTGAAGGGCAAATAAAATAGACCACCTCAAGGAGGAAGCGAATTGGTAGAAGAAAGGAAAAAGCTTTAACCTTTCTAAGTGTGTGTGTGAGGGATGCTGGGGTTTGAACCCAAGGCCTTCACAGTTTCCCTACTCAGTTTTATTTTTTTATTTTGAGTCAGGATCTTGATAAGTGACTAAGTTGTCCAGACTGGGCTGAATTTGAGATCCTTTTAACTCAGCCTCTCAGAGTGCTGAGATTACAGTCATATACCACCATATCCATCAGTATCTTTGATAGTACTTTCCTCCTGCATTTTGAACTAAGGACCCACATTTTCTTTCTGTACGATTCCTCAAAATTATATATCTGATACTACCCTGAGAGATGAGAGAGGCAGGAAGAGTTGGTGCCTATGGCCTGCAAGGTATTTGCCTGAGGTTTCCAAGGTATTAGAACTAATATGTGATGCTAGGAAATGTGTTCCTGAGTGTGTGTGTGTGTGTGTGTGTGTGTGTGTGTGTGTGTGTGTTTTGAGAGAAACTTCTCCTCCATGAAGAAAAGTGAGGAAAGTGGAACAAGAACAATTTCCCAAAAGGAGGCTGAGGCAGCCTGACTGAAGAGTACAGGCTGAGGAGAACTGATGTGCAGACGGGCCTGCAGGCTGGGCTTAGGGCCGGGAGGTGTCTTAGGGAGCTCTGGCCGCCTTCTGATATCAGGCAAAATCCAGGCTTTATTAAGCATGTGCAGTGTGGACTGGCAGCTGCTTTCCCAGAGTGGCTCAAACCCAGGCTTCCTGCTTCCCAGACTCCCTTCCTTCCCACCACACTGATTCTGCTCGCCTCTTTTTTGTGACAGTCAATTACTTGATTGGTAACCAAACAATTGATCCCAGTCAGATGCTAAGGTTTCTGCCAAAAATAATTTTTCTCCCAGTCAAAGTGAAAACCAAAGAGTTTGGTAAACACATAGCATCACCTCTGTCTCAGAGGAAATGGGGGATGCTTCTTTGTGACAATAAAAGGAGAGGTGGGAGAGAATGGGGTGATTTGAGGAAAAAGCAGCCCATAGTGGCCAGCTCCTTGAAGAGAGAGAGCATTCATCAGTGACCTCCCAGCTCTGCAGTCAAAAGGAGAAGACAGGGAGCAGAAGTTCTGGGTGTTTCACAGAGTGGGCTGGGGGACTCCTGCCTGTTTATTACAGGAGACCCTGCAGAGAACTTTGGCTTCCATTTGGTGTTTTCACTGGATCCATGATTCAGCTAAGACTTGAAGAATGGCTCGTGCAGCCATGCGACAAGAAGAGAAGGGAGAACTCAGGTCCTCAGGGAAGGTGTGGAGAGAGGGGAACGGGAGAGCAGGAACCTCAGGTTTGACAGATGTTGGAACAAAGCTCAGAGGGAGAACAATTTAATTCCTTAGCTGCACTGAGACACGGGGCCCACAATCCCAGGCTCTTCCCTGTGTTCCAGTCTGTCCATGCTGATGGTGCTGTCTGACAGCTTTGGATCAATTCAAGAATCCACTGTGATGGTCACATCAGCTGCTTAAGTAAGAAGAAGACAATGGTTGTGCAATGGCAGCGCTTTTGCCTTGCGCACATGAGACTCTGGGTTTGATCACCAGCACCATGAAAAGTAAATAAATAGCAATTTAAAAGAGAATGTACTAGCACAATGTGGTCACATATTTTGGTTCTGAAGAGTGATTGTGTATCTATATACATGTATATATTTATGCTCATGTGTTGAAAAGCAACTATGGGATTTTATTGATCAGCTTTCCTGTCATTGGGACAAAATGCATGATACACACAACTTAGAAAGAAGAAGTTTAGGGCCGGCCAAATAGCTCAGTGGATTAAAGCGCCTGCAAGCAGGGGCAGGGGCTGGGTTTCAATCCCCAGGCCTGCTGAGCTGGCCCCACCCCCAGGGCAAGCTGAGTCTGCGACTGAAACTCCGTGTGGTACTCCTAGCTTTTGAGAGGCTGTAAACAGGCAGATCACTATGAGTCTGACCTAATAGTGAGGCCCTGAACACCCTGTAGATCCTTCCCTAAAATACCAATAAATAAATAAAAATAAAAGAGAGAGGTTTATTTGGGATCACACTTTCCTAGGTTTCATCCATGATCAGTTGGCTCCAAAGGCAGAAATTTCACGACAAAGGTGTATAATGGAGTAAAAACTTGTCACTTGATAGCAGACAGGGATCAGAGCACAGGGAAGGAGCAGCAGGCACACTGCAGTGGCACCTCCATGGGGGCCCCACCTCCTAAAGGTACATTCAGCCGTGAATATCATGGCTTGGTCCATCGATGAGTCTAAGGTCCCCACAATCAAGCCTCCAGGAGTCTCTTAATGCAGTCAAGTTATCAATAAGTTTGTGGAGCACGGGGCTATGAAGTGAGTCATTGGCTCAGGACTTCCATAATGTATGTGGTCTCATCCCATACGGTTGAAGCTTTGGGCCAGACTGGGGTCATGGTTGCTGATGAAGGCAGGCTTGTCTGGCCTGGAAGTTTCCTTCTTGAGTTGGAAGAGTCATTTCAGGTGAGTAGGAGGACAGGAATGATGGGTATCAAGGCCACTAACCAATGTACGATAGGGATCACTCCAGAGGATCGCTCTGAAAGGCAAAAAGAAAAAGCCCAAATCCTTCATTGTCTTGACTGAGAAGGGCAGGAGTCCTGAACATTGGCTTGGGAACTTAAAAGCATGGATAGGAACTCCTTTCAGAATCCAATTCCAGTTTTCTCTTTTCTGCAAGGGACCAAGTTCTCTGCGCATAAAGTATAAAGAGTGCAGAAATCCCTTACAAATCAATGGCTTATCTGAGTTCTGTGCTTGAAAGTTACCTTGACATATCTACAGGCCTGGAAGGAATCGGCCTCATGTGCAGGATAGCAATGAGAGAGGGCAAAGGGCTGGATGTAGACCCACACGACCCTGTAATGCTACGCTCAGCTGACTTGAAGGATGGAGGGGCCATGTCCTCTCCTTGTTTCTCCACCCCACTAACCACATGTACTGTGAGGTAAATTGAAAGGAAACAGAGAGACAGGAAAGGAAATAAAGGGGAAAAAAGAATGGAAGAAAGAAAAAGAGATGAAATCATACAAAGGGACTAGTGATCTAAGAGAAAGGGAGATGAAGGGTGTTTTCTAGGTTAATTTTGGTGACTAAAAGTAGCAAGACTGCTTTACCTCCTTCCCTCAAATGGATATGTTATGGCTTTTCTCCTCTCTACAGATGAGCAGTCATCCCCATTTTATAAGGGACAGGGTTGCACTTCTTCCTTTTTCTGGATCTCAGAATGTGGTATAAATGTGGAAACAGCACCCGCACTGCCCATCAACCGGCTTTCTGGTAGCAGAAGAGCAAGACATAATCCTGGGAGAGGTTATAACAATGTGAGCAGCTCATTGGTGTCTTAGTAGCTTTTCTGGTCACTGGGACACAGTAATAGACACCCTCAACTTAAAAAAGGAGAAGTTCATTTCAGCTCATGTTTTTAGTGTTTAGTTAACTGGCTCCAAAGCAGGAAGGCATGGTTCAAGGGACAGTGGAGGCGAGCGGTTCACACCAGGCAGCCAGGAAGCAGAAGACTAAGGGGAGAGCCCAGAAGGGAGACATGCATCCCTCCAGGTCAGGTCCTCAGTGACCACCTCTGCTGACCAGACCCTGCCTTGTGACAGCAGGTCACCTATGTTGCGCCATGATTCAGCCACCTTCCGAAACCCCAATCATGAGCACCTAAGGCCTTTGGGGATACCTAATGTAAAGCCTAACTGTTAGGTGGGGGGAGGGGAACAGCATATGGATCCCATAGCTCAACTGTGGAAACAGGTCAAGAAATCAGCCCAAGTGAGTTTGGAGTGGTGGCCCAAGCCTGTGATGCCAGCACTTGGAGAGTTTTCTGGGAGGATGAAGTAGGAGATTCCAAGTTTGAACTTGGGCAATTTAGCAGCTTAGAGAAACCTTATTTCAAAAGAATAAATTTTAAAAAGGATTGAGGAGGTGGCTCAGTGTGAAGGCCTGGGTTTAGTCAGTATTAAAAAAAAACAAACAAACCAGGAAAGAAAAGACATTAGTATGGGTGAAAGGGAAGACGAAACCCAGAAGACCATGAGACAATAATGTCCCAGGAACCCGGATCCCTGTGGTAGGACAGGACAGACAGAACACCACAACTATGAGAGACTGTGGAAGAATGTGGTGGCCAGGGCTCAGGGGTGTCACTTCAGTGGTGTGGAGGAATTGGGGCCTGAAGTGTAGGGACTGTGATTCAGATTTATAAGGGGTCCCTTGAGTCCAAGTGTCTCCAGAGTTAAAGGAACTAAGCCTAATTTAGCCACCTGTCACTGAGGACTTGTCAGGCACAGTGGCAGGTAGTTTGCACATACTGTATTATTCTTCGTAAACCATGAGATAAGAGCCATTGTTTTGTCTTTTATTTAACATAGATTAGAGTAGCTGAGTAGCTTTGTTAGTATGTGAGTGACAATATCCACACTGACCTCAGGTATGACTGACTGAAAAACCCATATCCCAAGCTGGCCTGCTCTAGCACCTGTGGCTGAGCTGGAGACAGGAGTGATGGTCTGGCAAATGGATCCTCTGAAATGTGCAACGGAATCAGAAACACAAAACCCAGCATTTGCTTCCTACGTTCACCACAGAGTGCGAACCTAGCTGGGGATGAGGGCCATCACCCCTGTTTGCCGACCTTTCTCAGCTTATCTACTTTTCCCTTTTCCTCACTGCTGCAGGCTGTCCAGAGGAAACTGCTCCAGGTGTCTGCTTGACAGTGTCTGGACTGTGCTTCATGTGCCCTGTGTCCTCATTGCTTCTTGGATGTCTCAGTCTGTCCTATAGCCCCCAGGCCTCACATCCTAGGACAGTATGTTGTGAGAGCAGGGGAGGAAAGTGAGCATCGGAGATCCTGCATCTAACCATGGCACTCGTCAAGGGTGAGGCGAGTTTGCTGAGAGGGGGCAGAGCCAGTCACGGAACCCGAGCCTCCCTTGCACCCAGATGCCTTTGGGATTCTCCACCACATCCTGTGGCAGATGGCCGAGTAGCATCCCACAACTTTCTTCAATCAAATGAAACCAGAGGCCATGCTTACTTCAGCCCTCTGGGGGTTATTCTTACCTAGATTACAGGGTGGATGGAAGTAGACTGTGTCGTTTTTGCTGCTGATAGCATTGCTAATTTGACAGGTGTAAAACTTGGACTGCCTGTGCGATGATGTAAGGTTGACCTCAAGCACGCTTCTGTGGAGCTCCTTTGGAAAGGGCCCTGAGTCTTTATACCAAATGTAGTCAACAGAAGGGTCTGGTATGTCACAGGATAGATTCATATAGCAGTTGTCACCCACTTCCTTCTTCATCTCAATTTTTATTGTAAAGTTGGGTACAGGATCTGAAAATGAGAGGAGTATTATAAAATGAGGCAATGGACTTACAATTTATGAGGTATTTAGCCAACACCATCCCAAGAGAACCAGAGAAGTGGCTGTGAGTGTCGTGGGAGGCAGTGTCCTGGAGAAGAGGTTCCTACAGAGGGAGCCAGTGAGCAGCTTTGACTTTGGGAGGCTTCCTAGGCCAAGACCTACTCCTTGGAGGTGGTGCTAGGCTTCATCCACAAGGGGGAGCCAGGGTCCACCACATGCTTGCAACCAGGCACAAAATGAGGTGATGGTCTCTTACGAGCCGCAAAGGGCAGCATCCTGCAGGCTAAGACAGCAGCTAGGGTCACGCTTGGTATCACAGCTATCTGAGATTCCCGTTCTCCAGCAATGGTCCATAGTTGGCACCTTGTGGCCAGTCTGTCCCCTGAGAATTCTCAAGTTCAGATTTAGGAGAGCCCCAAGGTAAGACGTAGCAGCCTACACCCAGCAAAGTCCTTTGCACAGTGACCCCAGGAAATGCCAGGGAACAGAAAAGGACCTCCTGGCACCCCAACACATGCCAGTGGTGATTGTTAGCCTTGGTACCTCAAGGTCTAGCGCTGTGTCTGCCACATAGTAGATATTCTACGATTGGCTAACGGATGGATAAATAGATGGATAAAGAAGTTATGAGGTGGGAAGGACAATGTACTAACTTTGGAGTATGACTAGCCTGGGCCCTTGGTATGGCTCTTGTGAAGTGGCATTAAGCACTGTAGTCAACTTCCGCAAACTTAACCTGAAAAATGCCCTCATGATACAATGTTGATAAGGCAAAATGACATTGTCATTGGAGAAATGCTTTCGGTAGGGTGCAAGTCTTGTATGCATGAGGAAAGCTATGATGACGTTGCTGCCATTGTTCTGCTGCCAGATGTGACAAGAGGAAATCTCAGTATCCGGTTCTTTTTCACTGAGGTCTAGATTGCCTAAAATCTTCTGGACTCTCTTCATTCCAGTCAATGATAAAATACTTGCCAAATCAGTGCGGCTCAGTTCTCAGAGGATTAGAATGTGGCAGAGAACTGAACAGGTCAGAGCTTGTGGCTGCACTGTATGTGTTGGGAGTCTACAGGCGCTCTTCCAATATGGCCTCTCGGATGCAAGTTTCATCGCTTGTGGAAGCCATCTCACACTGCTGGATTTCTCTCACATACTGTTGTGGAGATATAAGCCAAAAGCTTGCTGTCCCTATGGAGCAAGGAACAAAAGCTGTCACTTGTGACACCAGCAAGCTGGTAAGCAAGGTCATGGCAAACCGCAGATCACGGTGCAAGCTTGGAGCAGCCCTGCCTGCACTTTGGTCCTGCACCTGGGATGTGATTGATTAGTCTTGCATAAACTTAGAGTTTGATGGATGCCAGAAGGCAAGACAGATAAGTAATCTGTTTTCACAAAAGTCAGTCTTATACATGCTTTAGCCTGTTTGTAGTTCTTACTAAATATGGTAAGTGTCTGTGGCTCAGCACTCAGATATGTTTTTATTTATTTTTGTGGAACTGGGGATTGAACTCAGGCTCTTGTGTTTGCCAGGCAAGCACTTATTCTACTGAGCCATCTCCCCAGCCCCATGGCTCAGTACTCAGAGCAAGACAAGGCTCCCGAGTCCCCTATAGCTAGTTTAGTCCAGTCTCCCTGCCATTTCTTTTATGCTCCATCTGAAACAACACAATGAACTGTTTGCTTGTTTGTTTTCTCCTGATACTAGGGATTGAGCCTAGTGAACTCAGCAGTTGCTCTATCACTAAGTTACCTCCTCAGGAATTTCTTTTTCCAGTACTGGGGATCAAACTCAGGATCGTGAGCTTGCCAGGAAGGCGCTTATCCACTGAGCTATATCCCCGGCCCCCCTGGGAATTTTTATTTTGTATTTTAAGACAGAGTTGAGGTAAGTTGCTCATGCTGGCCTTGAATTTTCAACCCTACCTCCTGCTTCCTAATAGATGAAGTTACGGGTATGGGTAACCACGCTCAGCCTTGAACAATCTGCTTAACTGCTTTTGTTGCCACTATTTCCTATGTTCTCGCCTCCTGTCTTACACTCCTTGTACATTTCTCACCATCTCCAACACAGATTTGTCAATGGTATTTATTGAACCTGTTAGGATGGTTTGATTCCAGGGTGCCCCATTTGAACCATCACAAATGTCTGGGCTGAATGGGAACACCATCCTCGTGCTAATCGCATGCTGGGGATCTTACCCTCAAGCAGGGTGTGCTGGGGCTGAGCCAGTGTGTGGACTTCTAGATATTCAGGAATGCAAGCTGACTATGGAAAGCTCTAGGGACTTGGAATCAACTTTAGTGGAAGTATTTACACTACAGAAATTACAGGTGCTGATGAATGGAATACTAATAAGGGTGTTTGTGTCTGATTACTTTCTCTATTTTTGATCTTGGAGAGAATATCATGGCAAGAAACATTCCTGTCCCCAGGCATCTTGTGCGCCCAGCCACATAATATGGAGACAGTGAGAGGAGGGCCTGAATGTATTTAACACTTTTTCGGCACTGTGTTAGCGTTTTTAAAGTGTTTTCTCCACTTTGATTCTTCACTTTGATTCTCATTATACCTTGAAAAGAGAGCATGCTTTATAGTATGCTGAGGAGCTCAAGGGTCCGTGGTGAAAAGCCATCAACCTCTTTTGCTACCTGCCCCAAACCATGGAAGCCTTCCCAGGAGCCTCATTTCCACACTATTACTTGATCCTTTTGGCCACAAAAGTCTAGATCAGATACACAGACTTGAACCAACTCGGACACATTGCTTTCTCTCTTATCCCATCGCTCTGGGAACTTAAACTCAAAGGAAAAAAAATCTAAATTTTGAGAGATAAGTCATGTGAATGACAGGAATCCAGAGCCACTCTCCACAAATTCTTTTTTTTTTTCCCCTTATTCTTTCTTTATTTTTTCCACACAGGGTCTCACTACACAGCTCAGAGTCATAGTGACCCTCCTGTCTTAGCCTCCCCAGTGCTGGGATTACAGGTGTGCACCACCACACTCAGGTTCACTGACTCAGCGCCCAGAGTTCCAGTGCTGGCACGGCATGTGGTACCAGGATTAGAACCCAGGTCCTCCACTTGCCAGGCAGGCACTTAGACTGCCGAGCTATCTCCCCAGCCCCTGCACAAACTCTTTCACCTGGCCCTGGTTCTCAGTATTTTTCTGATTTATTCCTTCTTGGCTCTATTGTACTGTTTGAGTTGCTCCTGGTTTATTAAAATAACTTCTTGGTCATTTGTGTTTGATCAGAGATGTTTTCTGTTATTGCTTTTGGTTTTGTTTTAATAGACAATAACTTTACATACTTATTGGGTATGGTATGATAATTTGATACATATATGTAATTGGGAAGGATTAAATCAGGATAATTAGTATTTATCTCCTCAAACATTTACTTAATTATTAAATTGGAGTACTGGGAATTGAACTCAAGGACCTTTGCACATTTCCAACATTCCTACATCTTCCACTCTTTTAATCTTAAGCAGGGTCTCACTTATCTGCCCAACTGTCCAAGGTTACGGTCAAAATTGGGATCCTCCTACCTCACCCTCCCGAAGTGCTGGGTTTACAAGTCTGATGTGGTGCATTGTCCTATCTATGTCAGGAATCTATGAACTTTAATAACTATCAAATACCTAACAAATAGGCTAAGCATAGAGGCACAGCCTATGAACCCAGCTCCTTGAGAGGCTGAGGTAGGAGCATTGGAAGTCCTGAGTCAGCCTGGGTGACTTAGTGAGACCCTGTTTCAAAATAAAACAAAAAGGGCCAGAGATGTAGCTCAGTGAGTGCTTTCTTTGGGTTGTGTGATCGTATTTGGTACTTACTATCCAAGCTCCTCTCTGTGTCTCTGTCTCTGTCTCTGTCTCTGTCTCTCTGTCTCTCTCTCTCTCTCTCTCTCTCTCTCTCTCTCTCTCTCTCTCTTTCTCTCTTTCTCTCCTGCTTAGCTTCTGCTGGAGGTTAACTAAAAGCTAACTAGACACTAACTAGTAAAAGCTAACTAGTAGTTAGATAGAAATTAACGATCCTTCTCTCTACTATGAGATCTACATTTTTTACTTCCAAAAGTGAGTGAGAACATATGATAATTGTCTTTCTGTACCTGGCCTAGTTCACTTAACCAGAGCTTTGAACCCAGGTCTATCTGACTCCAGGAAGAATGCTTCAGACCTTATTTCTTATACACTGGTTAGGCTGGAGCTTTCTGTGGAACTTTCTTGTCACACTCATCCAAATAGGTTAAAAAAAAAATCTCTCCATAACATCTCCTGCCTCATATGTAATTTTTTTATATCTTTTCCCATAAGTCTGAAGTCCAAGATCAGAAATATAATTAATATAAATTCAGAATGGATATGAATTCATTATAGGACGGAAGGAAAGAAATAGAAAAGAAAGAGTCTGGGAGGATCTGATGGTCCGGACCTACTCCTGAGAAGACTGGGCCTCAGGTGAAATGGATTAAGGCTGTCCTGAGACTCTCTGCTCCTTCTCCCAGACAGTGTTCCCAGGAGCCCCAGGAAGTGGTCCACCCAGGGCCCTGGAGTGGGGACTTGCCACTTGGTTTCTCCAACTCACCAAGCACCTCCAAGGTTATGCTGGTCTGAGCTTCAGATCCACCCTCGTTTGATAACCTCAAGAGGTAGGTACTACTGTCCTGTTTCTCGACGTTATAGATGTGCAGTGCATGACTCTGAGGATCAAGTCTGACCCTGTGCTTAAATCTAGTATTGAAGTAGTTAATGCCACTTGAGTCCCACTCCACAATCTTCTGGTTGGTAGTGTAAAACCAGGTGCCGTGAGAGTATTTATCCAGCAGCTTCCTGGAGCTCTGCAGAGTCACATTGCTGCCTGAGACGCCCGCGATCTTCTCTGAGTGACCTGTCAGTGAGAGGCAGAGTGAGACATGCCCTAGAGAGGAGCGCCACCCTGTGGGAAGGAGGAAGGGATTTCTGCCAGGGGGAGAGGAGTACCTTCTTCACCTTGAGGTCTTGTCCTCCGATCAGTAATTCGGTGAAAGTTGTAGCTTGAGAAGTATGCATAGGGGTTAGGGGATGCTGCTTATAATTATCAAGATCTACCCTCAGACAGTAAAGAAAAGTGACACAGAGTTGACCTGGGCTCTCTTGTTTACCTTCATACCTATAGATTTTCAAATGAGTTGATGATAAGTCATGATTCCTTTCTGGGTTTCTGTTCAATTTAGTTCAGTAATAACAATATAGATGCCTAGTGGCATAACAGACCTAGGACATGATCTTATGCTAAAAGATTTAATGCACTAATATGGGACAGATACAAAAACAAATTTCAATATGAAATCTTGGTTTCTATAATAAAGATAAACATAAGCTCTCCAGGATGTGGTGGGGGGGGGGCGGTGGGAGTGGAGGAAATACTTTAAAAAAAAATCTCTTTAGAGGACCTGACTACTAACGTGAGTTAAAGGATGTTCAATTTTTTTTTTTTTTTTTTTTTTTTTTTTTTTTTTTTTTTTTTTTTTTTTTGGTACCAGCGATCAAACTCAGGACCTTGCACTTTCCAGATAGGCACTTGAGCCACCGAGCTATATCCCCAGCCTCAAATGATGTTTATAACCTAATATTTATTGAGAACCATGTAGTAGGCACTATTTGAGGTCAGTTGGAATATGCTAATGCATTAAAGAGCAAAGATTCTTGAACTAACATTAATATAAGCAATATATACAATAAATATATAGCATTTTAAATAACTATAATTACTATAATAAAGATGAAGTGTAGACCACAGTAAGAGAACTCATGAATGCTAGAAGAGGTTGAGATTAGTAGGACATAGCTGAGCAAGGATTTGGAGGCGAGAAAGAGCCAGCAGATATCTAGGGTAATAGAACACAGGTAGAAGGAAGAGCTAGAGGACTGGGCCCTGTGGTGGCCCTGCCTCTTCCAAATCCAACATCCCCTTCCTCTTAGCTCTACTTGGGTTGCTTGTGTCATACTTGTGGGTGTCTTAAGATCTGGCTAAGGGGAACTAGAACCAGTGTCTTTGCTATATTTAAACAGTGGAGATGAGGCCAGAGTGGATGATGTGGAATGAGAAAGGGGAAAGGGTGCAGAGACACAGGGGAGAGGCGGCAAGGAAGAGGGGGAAGGAGAGGGAGAATGAATTATGGAAAGCAAATAAAGACAGTTTAACTATATTGACAACGTAAATTTTTTCTTGTGAAAATGACTCTGATACTGTGTATTTTCACAACTTATTAACAAGTTGTTAGGAGGTAAGAAAGTAGAACTATTGGGAGACCAAGTTTGGGTCAGAGGCAGGTACTGCAGAAGTGATGGAACTGGGTCCCCAGGGTCCTTTCAGTGCTCCCATGGGGGTCCCAGCAGTACATTTAGGTGCCAGTATGTTTCAGAAAGCATTATGTTTTTAACACAAAATTAAGCCACTGCCTCTTTCAAATCCAACATCCCCTTCCTCTTAGCTCTACTTGGGTTGTTTGTGTCACACTTGTGGGTGTCTTAAGATCTGGCTAAGGGGAACTAGAACCAGGAAATGTTTAGAGTGCGGTTCTCCTGGGTGGGTACTGTTAGTGGTTTGGCTGAAAAATGACATCAGGAAGGCTGCTGCTGCCAATCTGGAGGAATATGGCAAGAGGTTTGGGGTGGGAAAGAAACAAGATTTGAAGAAATCAGGAGCCAGAGCTATTCAGTGGCAAGGTACTATAGAAGCATGAAAATGTTTAATTAATTTTAAAGTTCATGCTATTTTTCATGCTTGATGTAATATTTTCTCACTTCAAAAATGTATCATATTGAGATTTCTTTTTTTACTCTAACTGAATTAAATTTTGTCCACCCTCTCCCCCCCCTCCCCCGGCTTCTTTTCTGTTCTTGGAGATTGAACGCAGGGCCTTTGCACCAAGCTACTCACTCAGAGCTTTTTGGTTTCTACTAATTTGTGATAAATAATGATTACATTTGTTTTAGGGGATTAGTGCATGGATGCAGCATATTTTAATCATTGTTGATCTCTTTTTCCCTCTTCCTACCCTCCCTCCTCCCTGTTCTGATGCCTTTCCCTCTCTGCAATAAGTCTGCCTTTTTGTTTTTTACCATCTCTAATTTTCTCTTTTATTTACATAGGTGTTAGGTTTCTTGTATAAGAGAAACCATGCAATATTTCAATTTCCGTGTCTGGCTTATTCTACTTGATATTGTGGGAAGATGGTAGAATGGTGAGCAGCAGCCTGCCTGATATCTGGAAACCCGATGCTGGAATATAGCAACGTGAGGAAGAGAGGAGGAGGGAAATGGGTCCCTGGGATGCAGCAAGGATCAGAGGTGAGAATTAGAGCCTATGGGGAGAGCAAAGAGAGGGACTACTACTCAGAGAAAGGAGGGGCCAAGCAGTGCTTCCTCCATGGGCCCTGGCTCATGGTGTAGGAGGAGTGGCTAGAACCTGCAGAGGCACAGTAACTACTGGCAACCCCAGAGGCCTCCATGAAGAAATGCACCAGTGGCATGGAGCAGTGGACAGGGTGGACTACAGCAGATGGTGAGTTATTCAGGCTCAGGTGCCCACCCACCACATGAGGGTGATTGACTGGTAGCCATATCTGAAGGGAGCCAGTGGAAGCTAGAGCTCAGAAAAGCTGCTGGTTGGATCCATTTGCAACTCTGAGGATCAAGGTGAGGCACAACCAAGTTCAAGTCAGAAGAAGATCACAAAACTGAGTCCAAACCAGCAGGGAGCTAAGGAGTCTCTCAGAGCATTGTGGGCTGAAAAGCTAGGTCCTAGCTTCACAGCTGGAAACCAGAAGCAGCCTGAACTTCAGTGGAACTAAAGGCCAAGTTTTGTGAGGATTATCTACTACTGCCATAATTCTACTTAATGCTAAGGCTGCTGGTTTGCTGGGGTGAATCAAGATGGATCTGTGCTTTATCTACCCCTTCCATCAACCAATGTCAAGCATGCCTTGAAGTAGACTTTTATTTTTCTTTCTTTCTTTACTTTTTTTTTTGCACGGGGCGGGGGCAGTTATTGAAACAAGGTTTCACTATGCAGTTTAGGAAGGCCTTTAACTCACTTTGTAGCCCAGGGTGGTCTTGAACTCACAGTGATCCTCCTGACTCAGCCTCCTGAGTCCTGAAATTATAGGTGTAAAATTATTTCCTTCATATTATTACACCAATGAAATTGGAAATAAATGGCAAAAGACACCACTAAAACTTCATAGACATGTGGAAATTAAATAATACCCTCCTGAATAACCAGTAGGTCATAAATTAAGTTAAAGAAGAAATCAGGAAGTTTCTACAATTAAATGATAATGCCAATACTACATTCTAGAATGTATGGGACACAACAAAAGGTGTTCTATAAAAAGAAAGTATAACAGTAAATTCCCAAGTGAACTCAAATAAAAATCTACTGTTGAACCTCAAGCTTCTAGAAAAAGAGCAAGTTAAACCCAGAGCTTGTATGAGGGAGGAAATTAGAAAGACTAGAGCAGAAATTAATGCAATTGAAACTAAGGAAATGAAAAAGAATCAATGTATTGAAGAGTTGTTTCTCTAAAAGATTAAATAAAATTGACAAATCCTTAGTCAATTGTATCAAAAAAGGGAAAGACTCAAATCCATGAAATTAGGAATGAAAAGGGTGAAATTACAACAAATCCCACAGAAATCTGAAAGATCATTAATACTTACTTTGAGAACCAGTATCCTAATAAGATAGAAAACACAGAAGAAATGTCAGATTCCTAGATACATATGAATTACCAAACTGAATCAAGAAGTTACAAAGATACAAAATAAACCAATATCAGTTGATGAAACTGAAGATGTAATTAAAAACTTGCCAACAATGAAAAGCCAATGGACTTACTACTGAAGTCTATAAGAAATTCAGAGAAGATCTAAAACCACCATTTCTCAAATGATAACGAAATGAAAAGGAAGCAAACCTCCCAAATTTATTCCTGGAAGCAAGTAGTACCCTGATGCCAAAAACAGAAAAAGATCAAACCAAAAAAGAGAGCAATAGGCCAATCTCACTAATGAACATAAATTTTAAAAAATCCTCAAATAAGTTCTGGAAAATAGAATGTAGCAAATCACCAATAATATTATACACAATGATCAAGTATGATTCATCCCAGGGACACAGGGATAGTTCAACATACACAAATCAATAAATGTAATACACCATATTAAGAGTCAAAAATAAAACCATGTGATCATCTCAATACGGTGATCATATTTACTAGTGTGTTAGGATGACACTGTGTAGATCAGGCTGGGAACAATCTACAGTGATTGCTTCTGTCGTAACCTCTTGAATGTTGTGATTAGAGATGTGCACCACCACACCCAGATTAATTCTAGGAATTTTAGAACTTATTTCCTGATTTCTGTTGGCGCACTGATTACCCAATAGTGTATCAATATCCATATGTTTGTGTAGTTTCTGTGACTTTATTTTGTAGTTGATTTCTAGTTTACCTCTGTTGTGATATGATAGGTTATAAGAGGATATTTCAACTTTTTTGTATTCATTGAGACATGCTCTATGGCTTAAAATATGGTCTGTTTTAGAGAAGGAATTATAGGATGTTGAGATGAATGTGGGACAGTGACAAAGAACCAGAGTTGGGCCAAGCAGGCAGCCACTTCTCATCCTCAACAAAAGAAACCACTAAAACTTCCTAGACATGCGGAAATTAAATAATACCCTCCTGAATAACCAATAGGTCATAAATTAAATTAAAGAAGAAATCAGGAAGTTTCTACAGTTAAATGATAATGCCAATACTACATTCCAGAATGTATGGGACACAGCAAAAGGTGTTTTATAAAAAGAAAGTATAACAGTAAATTCCCAAGTGAACTCAA